TGTAAATTATATGTAAATTATATGTAAATTATATATAAATGATACATAAATTACATAAAAATTATATATGAATTATATGTAAAATATTTTAAAATTATATAAAATTATGTATAAGTCATATTTACATTATCTATAAATGATATATAAATAATACATGTTAATTATATGCTAATTATATACAAAACATATGCAAATTATCCCTCTCATTTATCCCATCTACCCAAACATTCTATTTTATTCCTGGAGCCAGAAATTAAATTTTTTTTCAATATCAAAAACCAGAATTAATTGGAATTTTCACCTTCAATTATCTATAAATGAGCTATAAATGATATAAAAATTATACAGAAATGATCTATAAATTATATCTAAATTATTTATGAAAATATCTAAATTAGATGTAAATTACACATAAATTATATAAAAATTATATTAAAAGGATATAGAAATTACATATAAAATATTTATAAATTATATATCAATTGTATTCAAATTAACTATAAATTAAATATAATTAATACATGTTAATTATATGCAAATTATATGTAAATTATATACAAAATGATATCTAAACTATATGTAAATTATATAAAAATGATAGATAAATTATATATGAAACATTTTAAAGTTATGTATAAATTACATTATCTAGAAATGATCTATAAACAATATGTGTTATTACATGCTAATTATATGCAAATTATCCCTTTCACTTATCCCATCTACCCAAACATTCCATTCCATTTCTGGAGCCAGAAATTAATTTTTTTTCAATATCAAAAACCAGAATTAATTGGAATTTCACCTTCAATTATCTATAAATGAGCTATAAATAATAAATGTCGATTATATGTTAATTATATGTAAATTATATGCAAATTATTCCTCTCACTTATCCCATCTACCCAAACATTCCATTTTATTTCTGGATGCAGAAATTCGATTTTTTTCCAATATCACAAAACTGAGAATTAATTGGAATTTCACCTTCAATTATCTTCAAATGATCTATAAATGCTATAAAAATTATACAGAAATGATCTATAAATCATATCTAAATTATTTATGACATCTAAATTATATGCAAATTATCTATAAATGATACATAAATTATACCTAAATGATATAAAAATGATAAATAAGTTGCAAATAAAATATAAATTATATAAAAATTATATATGTTATATTTACATTATCTATACATGATATATAAATAAAACATGTTAATTATATGCTAATTATATGTACAGTATATGCAAATTACTCTTATCCCATCTACCCAAACATTTTATTCCATTTCTGGAGACAGAAATTCAATTTTTTTCAATATCAAGAAATGGAGAATTAATTGGAATTTCACCTTAAATTATCTATAAATGAGCTATAAATTATATCTCATTTATATAGAAATGAGGCATAAATTATATGTAAATTATATAAAAATGATAAATTATATATAAAATATTTTAAAATTATATAAAAATTATATATAAGTTATATTTACATTATCTATAAACAATACACATTAATTATATGCTAATTATATGCTAATTATATGCAAATCATTTCTCTCTGTTATCTCATCTACCCAAACATTCCATTCCATTCCTGGAGCCAGAAATTAATTTTTTTTTTCAATATGAAAAAACTGAGAATTAATTGGAATTTCACCTTCAATTATATGCAAATGACATGCTAATTGTATGCAAATCACTCCTCTCACTTATCCCACCTACCCCAAACATTCCATTTTATTTCTGGAGGCAGAAATTGGATTTTTTTTCAATATAAAAAAAGGAGAATGAATTAAAATTTCACCTTATTTGCCTGGATCACGTGGAAATCTTTGCCATAAACTTTGAGGCCCTGCTCGAAATTCCTGCATTCCTCCTCTGTCCACACTGATAATTCCTCTGCACGGAAACA